AGCATGGCAGGGGCACTCAGTAGGGTGTAGGGGGGCGATGAAGGGAGACCAGGGGGTGTTATGACAGGTGAGCCAGTCCACATGAGGAAATAGTAAAGACCATGAGGAAGGCAAAGGGGCAGTTGCGCCGTGCAGGAAGAAACGGCAGCAACCATCAGCACCTGCTTAGCACGTTGTCGGAAAGAAGGGGGTGGGGCCGAGGGGAAGAGCAGGGGGGGTCGGGTAAGGGAGAGGGGCAGGGGGGCGGGGGAGCTAGGATTGAGTGGTGAAAAGCCGAAGGATAGAGGCCAGCCAGCGTTGCGGAGAGCGTGGGCCTGAGAATAGGGGAGGCGTGGGGGGAGGGGAGTATGCGAGAGCAATACGGGCACATCCAGGGGCGAGGGGGTGGTGGAGGGAGCTGAGATTGGTGGAACCAACGTACAACAGAGAGACAAAGGGTAGCGTCCAGTGGCAAAGGTAGAGACGAGAGGGCTGGTTAGAGATAGGCCGCAGGAGGCGTAAAGCACCACTAGGAGAAATCGGACGAGGGGGCAAGGGGGGGTGACCGTACCATTGGTCTGCTGCAGCTGGGCAACAGAAATCTGCGTCTTGTTGTTCAGGCGCTGCTTGCGCTTGAAAGCGAAAGTCTCATGATCCGAGTCACGGTGGTTGTTCCCACAGTAAGCGCAGACGTGGGTGGAAATGTTGAGCAGGGCGGGAGGGGAGTCATCCTCAAACGGGATGACAGCAGGGATGCGGGAGAAGGAGGGGTCATCCGGGGGGGGAAGAGGGATGCCAGTGAAGACGGGGAGGAAAACCTCCTCGTAGGGGTCCGTGGTCCGGTGAAAGAATTGCAGATCCGCAAGCCAGGCCGGCTCGGACGGGTCCGCACCGTGCAGCAGGAAATCGCGGACGTCCTCCGGGGTGTACCCCGGGGGGATGTTCCGGAGCGACAGCGTGGCGGCACCCCCTGCTTTGGCAGCAGTGAAACCCGGGTTGCGATCTTCGAAAACCTTAAGAAGCACGGATCGAGAGGCGGTCAGAGAGATGGAGCGGGGGAAAAGGCGCTTAAAAACCTCTGCCTCTTCCTCCGTCGGCCAGGAGAAGCAGAGCCGTGCGTAGGCACGACGCGGAACCCGGAGCGGCTCGCCGGTGGCAACTTCAAATTCCGGGACAGAGCCGCAGCGGAAGAAATGCGGTTTCAGCATGGCAGTGATGCGGGCGATGAGATCCGCGCGGATGGCATCCACTCCCGTCTCGGGCAGAAGGAGCGTGACCACTGCGAGACGGCGGCGGGGCATGACCGGACCGGGCCTCGGACGACGAAGGGTGCGGGGAGGCGCGGGACCAGGAGCGTGGGCCGTCAAGACGACGCCAGCTCCGAGAGCGGCGCCACGGCGAGGGGAGATCGGACTGGCGGGCCTGCGCAAGGCAGGGGGCGGAGCATTGGCAGCGAACGCGGAGGAAGAGGCGCCCAAGGGGGCACCCGAGGTGTTGCTGGTCAGGGCAGGAGCAAGAGCCGCCATGACACCGCGGGACGGCGCCGAAGGGACGGGCACGGGCGGAGGGCCTTCGACGCACACCTTTTTGGCCGCCGGGGGCTCATCAGCTGCGGGGGGATGGGCAAGGGAGATGGCGGGGAGGTCATCGAGGTGAAGTTCCTCGCCATCGAGCTGAAGGTCCTCGTCAACGAGGGTCATCTCGTCGTCAGGGTTGTGGATCGGAGCGGCCATGACGGAAGGGGGAAAGAAAACGAAAGGAGAGTAGGCACTGGGATGAGAAGTGCCACCGATGCTGGAGAATTTAACTGCGTAGGTTGGGGGCGAAACGGCTCGTCAGGCCTGGGGGCAGCCGGGGCAGGAGGAAGGGCGAGAGCAGGGGCTAGTGAGGAAGGGAGGGGGGCGGTTCGAATCTGGTTTAAAAAATCTGAAACATGGCGGGCAATAGCGAGAGGGCACGGAGGCGACGATTCTAGAAGCAAGTGTGGCGATCCAGGGTAGCGTAGATGAATGCACGCCATTCGTAATGGCGAGGGGGCACAGGCAGCGGCCATAGCTTCCCCAAACAAAAGACCAGGTGCCTAGGCGGCAGCACAAGTCACGTGGTAAGAAAGTTCTGGAGCAGGAGGCTGGGGAAGCAGCGAAGGGAGGAAAGGGCAGAGGAGCAAGGGAACCACGAGGGCGTGGTTTGGAGGGAACCAATCGAAGTAAGGGGGGAGGTGGGGGAAAAATCTCACGAGAACAAGGGAGCGGGGGCGGAGGGCAAGTGAAGGGAAGGGTGGGGGCAAACCAGTAAGCGAGATGCAAGCGTTGAAGACCAGTGGAGCGGCGGTGGGCTGCAAGTTCAACTAGCTGGCGGGGACGGGACAGATCGTGAAGCTCCGAAATGTAGCTCAGGGAGCTGGCAGAGTCAAGCTCTGGGTGACCTGGAAATTGAAAAAAGAAATGGTGGCGTGGGGCAACGCAGTGAAACAGGAGAGTAGCGGAAGCGGGGAGAAGCGTCGAGAGATTTTTACGGATGGGCAGGCGGCCAGATGAAGAGGAGCACGAATCAGAGCAGAAAAGCCAGTGCGGAAGAGGAGCTGACGTGGAGTGGTCTCGACCTTGCGGAAATCGAAGGATCTGGAGGGGGGCAACCTGGTCGGCCGAGAGGGACGTGGCGAGAGGGGAGAATGGTAGCGGCGGAACGTGGATGGGCGGAGGGCGCGGCAGCCAGCTCAGCGATGTATGAGGCCTGAAATTAACAGAGAAGGGGAAAACAGCGAGCAACACCAGCCAAACCCAGACGAAAACGGAAAAGGGAAATAAACGGAAAGCGAACTTACCTTGGGCCAGTACAGTGTCGAACGCAGTGAGCCAGCTGAGAAGAGCCGTGGCTTGACAGATGCAGGTCCGCAGAGTAAGGAAAGTTATCGCTACCGTGAGTTCCCAGCTGGGTTGCCGAAGCTAGGGAGGGAAGGCCTCCGTCAGATCTAGATCTGGTTGCATCGTGGGAAAGGAGACCTACCTCAATTGAGCTGGAATAGTCAGCTTGGTGAATCATTTCGGGCTGTTTGGGACTCCGGTTTGTGATGGATGGTGTCAAACCTGGAAGTACAGTTTCCCCATCTCCCCCTCTACCCCTCCCCCCTCTCTCACTCCACACTTTTTCACTCCCCACCCTGCCTCGATCCCCCCCTTTCCTCCCACCGCATCGATCTTTGAGGTGACCCGAGACGAGAATTGTCTTTCCAATGCCCTTGGTCAACCCACTACTGCTCGATCCAGTGAAGTACGGTTGGTTGAGCATAATAAGAATATAGAGAAATCATCACACATGCTCATATAACTTACAATCTCTGACATCCACTTCAAAATGCACGATCTTGAAGCTCATGAGCTATTTTTTTCTAACGGCCACAAGTGCGCTAGTGTCTGACATACGGTACTCAATTTCCTCCACCCGATTCCTTCAATTCACCTCCTGAGCCCAGCTTTTCCTGCATCACAGCGTCAGCATCTTCCTTGTTTACAAACACTTCCAAAAACATAAATGGGCGGCAAATTTTGTCACTACTTGGCCGCACAAGGCTCTCGTGAATAAAGCTCATTTCACAGCATTTCAAGCACTGCTGGTTGTACTCGATGCTGAACATGCGATACCCAAGCTTCTCTAATGTGTATACGAGTGGTAGGATATCCTGTGGGTGGTGGATTCTGGTGGAGGGAGGGAGAGAAAACACGACATGTAAAGGTGAGATACAGAAAGAGAGAGAAGCAAGAAGCGGTGCAAGGAGAATGAAGTTGAAGGCAGAAACGGGTGGCAGGCTTTGACATTACATGGTTGCATTTGTACACATGCACCTGAGTGTGCACAACCCATTGCAAAACGCCCAATCCACAGCCAGTTCTAGCGCCCTATCTGAACCACGGCAACCAGTCCCATTCCAAGCTCGTCCCTGCTCCTTCCCTTTGTGCTTGCTCCCTCGTTCGTTCGTCCCTGCTCTTTTCCCTCGAGTCAACTCACTGGTGAAACTCGACCAAGATCTGCCCGAAAGGCAGTGTCCCCCCGTGCACGCTCAGCTGTGCTGCCGCATTCCCATTCGCCGCCCCAAGTTCCATAATCACCGCCTCTTCACACCCCTCGCAGTCAATCTTGAACACATCCACATACGAATGATTCAGCTTCTGCATAATTCCTCCCAAAGTCAGAAACTGGAGGTCAGGGAATTTCTTGCGGTAGTTTTGGAGGGAGGAGGATGCGGAAAGGCCGATGGGGTGAAAGTGGAGGTAGGAGAGGTTATGCATAGAGGCGGTGGTTTCAGGAGTGAGGAACGGGTCGAAGGTGTGGGGCTGCACGCGCAGAAGCTTGTGAATGGAATCTTCAAATGAGTACCGCCCGCGACTGCCAATGCTGTCGTTTGGGAGTGGTTGGGCACAGAACGTGGGAAGAAAGTATGGGAGTGATGCTAAACGCGCAGAACCGTGTGAATGGAGTCTTTGAATGAGTACCGCCCGCGACTGCCAATGCTGTTGTTTGGCGGGCATGTTAAGGGGAAGAGCGCACAAAAGGGAAGAGCGCAGGGGAAGGATTGGACGTGCAGTGCAAACGCTTGTAGATGGAACCTTCGAATGAGTACTGCCCACTCTCTTGTCAATGCACAATGCTGAAAACGTGGGTAGGCTATGGACAGAGCGAGGGAGAGTACGCACATGGGAGGCGAAACTTTTGTTAGTGATATTGTGCGTGGAGTGAGGACGGACACACGCACTCACAAGGCACAGACGGACGCAAGCACTCACCTGCAAACTGCACATTTGCCGAATTGCACAACTGCCACCTCCTCATCACTCGCATCCCCTCACTACTCTCATCTCCCGACCCACCCCCCCACCCCACCTGTACACAACAGGGTCATAAAAAGAAGACAAGTCCTCATCTGTACTCAAGGATGGTACTGCTGCTACCCATATGTTTTCCCCGTCTGTCCCATCACTAGCCAATGAATCGCCACTCAACATACCTTTTCCCCGCCTCCTCACCTGTACACGACAGGGTCCTTCTGAATGGCGCCTGGCAGAAGACAAGTCCACTGGGGGGATCAGGAAGAGGAAGGGAGTGAGAAAGGGAGATTCGGGTGAGTTGAGGGAGATTTGGGTGGGTAGAGAGAGTTGGGAGGAATTTGCTGCAGCAAGCGAGATTTCAAACCGAAGGCTTACCTTTCCGCCAGTCCCCAGCGTATCTAGTCAACTCGAAACTCACCTTCCCGCCATCCCCTCACTGCCCAATGCGCTCGTTAGCCGGGCACGGATACGTGGGGATGAGCACGACGGTCTTCATAAGGACAGATGTGTACTGCACAGGTGGTGGGTACAGCGTTCCGTTGCACGCCTTCCGTCTCAGCACAAGATTCTCCTGTGGAAAGGGCATTGGAGCCTACCTTGCGTTGGAGGAGGGGAGGATGATGAATACAGAATGATTGCAAATGTGTTCAGAAGAAGAAGAAGAAAGTACGTATGCATTTTTTAGTCGACTGACTAGGGAAAAAGGAATCGGGATAAAGAAACGTACCCGGTAATTTTCCAGTAAATTGCACGACAGATGGCCGCGTAAGTTCCAATCAAGCTGTTCAGAAGCACGACATGCTGAAGAATGACTTGAAAACGAGAACTCACCCAGTAATTCTCCTCCGCACGGCAGATAGCCGCGTCAATGCCGCTCATGCTCGGAAACAGAAACGCAGCCCATCCGAGGCTAGGAGGCTGGTACGGAAGCGATGCTGCCGAGCCTCCGCCGCTGCTCCAGCCGCTGGAGAGCAGGCCGGGATTCGACTGAAATGCCAGGTTAATGGGGATGACTATAGCGAGGATGACGACGAAGGGGATGACGTACGGGCGGATGGTACGAAGGGTGTTTACATATGTTTCGCTTCTGACTTGTAAGTCTGACAGGATTTTTCCGGACATCTTAGAAGGCAAGAGCCTTTTACAAACCCGGCAATTGAAAGTAGTTCACGGGACTCGATTACTTGCTTTGAGAAGTGACGGTCCTGATGAGTGTGCAGGCCGCCAATCTGTGCAGGAACGGCGAGCTAGTGTATGGTTCTCTGTCCGATTGGCGTACTGGATTCATAACAAGTTGTGATGACACTCCGAGGGTGACCACAGGCACTCACAGTATAAGAAAGACATTCACAGTATCAGGAGTTGAGACCACAGAAACTGTTCAGGGCTTCAGATGAAGAGAGACGCATTGGGAAGGGCCTGAAGCCCGACTGGTTTGAAGGTCTTGATAAGACCGTGATCAGTGTACATGGTTCCATGACACAAGAATGATATCTGATGTTCAGCTGAACGGAAAGCAGGAAGCACCTGTACGATGAAGCATCAGGAGCCCGGAATCCAGCGTCGTTTGTGCATTAGGCGAGCAGATAAGAAGCCGCACAGCTCAAATTCCAGCATGAGAGTTTTGCACCACAGAAATGAAACATACGGTACTACTGATGCAGCCATGAAGAACTGTTTCTCGGAGCTGAATGAACCAAACAGACATGTGCAGTTACAGCCTGTACATCCATGAATAATCAGTCAGCATCAGTGAGAAAGAAAAGCTGGAAGAGGTTGGATTGGGTTGGATGAATGTCAAGTGAACTGCTTTCCAATGGCGCGTGGACGTTGGAAGTTCGCTCGGAAAGTTGGAGGTGCCATGGACGAATGCGACAGGTTTGTTTTCCTCCCTATCATACCAGTACGCTTTGCCTGAAAGGAAGACAGACCAGTTGTACTTTATAAATATGCTTTATGATTTCTGCAAATCTTACAGATGAACGGAGAATTTTAATGTATAAACTACCTTTGTTGCTCCTCTTAACCTGATCCAGAGTTGCATTTAGCCCGTATATCAGGTTGTATCAGGCTTTCATGAATGAAGCTACCTGTGATGCATAGATCACATAAAGGATTGTCCTCAATGTGGAACATTCGATATCCAAGTGTTTCCAATGAATACACCAACGAAAGAAGCTCTTGAGGCTCATCGGCCCTGCATCCAAGAGCAGGGGTGTACACATAACATTGTATACCATGTAAAGCAGTTCATAATAAAGGGAAATTCAAGGACACGGGAGTTGAGTAACTGACAGAGCATCGAAACTCACTCATGAAAGTCGACGACGAGTTGTCCGAAAGGAAGCTTCCCCCCATTGATGGCCAGCCGAGCACCCACATATGGGTCCACTGCGTCTTCCCTCCCCTCCTCATAGTTCCTCACTCCACCACTACCACTACCACTGGCACCTTCAGGTTTGGCACCCGCCCCTCCTGGTTCGGCAGCTGCACCTGCTGGTTCGGCAACCGCACCTGCCGCCTCGCCTGCACCAGTACCTGCTGCTTCTGCTGCTGCAGTTTCATCTACTGGTGCTGCTGGTTCTTCTGCAACTGGTTCTACTGCTTCTGCTAGTCTCCGGGGTGACTTTTGAGTCGACTCAAAAGTCACTTCATCTGCTGGTGCTGCTGGTGCTGCTGGTTCTTCTGCAACTGGCTCTGCTGCTTCTGCTAGTCTTCCGAACTGGCCTAACGTCTCCCGCATGCCCCTTCCCACTCCCTCTGCTGTCCCATTCACACTGCCCTCATACACGTCGAATATCACCTCCTCCTCGCACCCCCCACAGCTGAGCTTCAGAATGTCAATGTATGTGTGGTTGAGATCCTGTGACAAGGGTAGATGAGGAAGGGGGCGTTGGGATGTCAGAAAGAGAGCACGTCAAACATCGCCCTCCTCCTCACATCCCTCCCTCTCAGCTGGGATTCAGAACGTTGCAAGAGAGGGAGCAGGGGGGATGTTGCAAGAGAGGGAGCAGGGGGTAATGTGTTGGGATGTTAAAAAGAGAGCATGTCAAACATCGCCCTCCTCCTCCTCACACCCCTCTCAGCTGAGATTCAGAACGTTGTGTGGTTGAGGTCCTGTAGGGAAGGAAAGATTCGGGGGATATTGCAAGAGGGGGAGCAGGGGGGAATGTGTTGGGATGTCAAAAAGAGAGCATGTCAAACATCGCCCTCCTCCTCCTCACACCCCTCTCAGCTCGGATGCAGAACGTCGATGTATGTGTGGTTGAGGTCCTGTAGGGAGGGGGGAAGAACAGGGACGTGTTGGGATGTTCAGCACAGCGAGGTGTGGGGATGGGAGTGGAGAATCGCACAACCTAAACCTGAAACCCTAAACCCTAAACCCTAAACCCTAAACTTTCTGCATGCCCCCCTGCAAGCCAGGCTGTGCGATTCTCCACTCCCATCCCCACAGCTGTCCCATGCAACCAGCCCTCAGCAACCTGCCCATACACGACACTCTCCCTCAGCAACTCCCCCCCTCCCCTCTTGCCCTCGCTCGTCCCATTCCTCCCCCCTCCCTCCCCACCTACCTGCATCAGTTCAGGCAGCGTGCGGAACGTGACATTGTGGTTCCACTTCTGATAATCCCCTAAGGAGGCCTTTCCAGCCAGCCCCAGCGAGTGGAAGTGAAGGAAACGCAGCAGCTGCATGCGCGCCTGGGCTTGTGAGGAGAGGAAGGGGTCGAGCGTGTACGGTTGGGAGCGGTAATGGCGGAACATGGACTCTTCAAAAGAGTACTCCTCGTCACTGCCCACACTGGGAATAGCAGGGAGAGGGGAGGAGGGGCGGAGAGGGAGACAGGGAGGGGTAGGGGGATTGGGCTTGCGAGGAGAGGAAGGGGTCGAGCGTGTAGGGCTGGGAACGGTAATGGCGGAACATGGACTCTTCGAATGAAAACTCCTCGTCACTGCCCACACTGGGGAGAGGGGCGAGGTTGCAGGAGAGGGGGTGAGGGGGCAGGAGAGAGGGTGAGGAAGCAGAAGAGAGGGTGAAGGAGCAGGAGAGAGGGTGAGGGAGCAGGTGGGAGAGGAAGGTTATAATTTTGAAGAAGGGAGGGAAAGGGGTTGAGGGTGTAGGGTTGGGAGCGGTAGTGGTGGTGGAACGTGAAACTGAGGGTAATACGTGCAGCAACACCCAGCTTTGAGGGGTTAGACTAATTGCTTTCGTAGGCAAACATCTAACGTGATGAGCTATGCTTGCATTTGTACGCTAGACACTTTGAAAACACATGTAGACAAGGCAAGTGGTTTTTTTTTTTTTGAAGGGCTCACCTGTAGACAACGGGCTTGGGTTGAACGGCTGTTGGAATCAAACACACCCACTGAGAGGGAGGGAGGGAGGGAGCGGAGGAGGGAGGGAAATGAGGAAAGAAAGAGGGAGGCGAATGAGGGGCTCACTCAACCGTATACAACGGGCTTGGGTTGAACGGCTGTTAAATTTGACACACCCACTGAGAAGGAGGGAGGGAGGGGAGGAGGGAGGGAAATGCGGAAAGAAAGTGGAGAGGGGAAGGGGGGAAACGAGAGAGGGATGCAAGGATATGAGGGGGAGGGAGGCAGGAAGGAAACAACATTTCAATGATATCAGTCACACCCATTGGTGAAGGGATGAAGGCAGGAAGGGAGGTTGAGAGAGAGAGTGTGTGTGAAGGAAGGACTCGAGAATGAGAGGGAGGGGTTTAAGAATGAGATAGGCATGATAACATACAGGTGCGACCTCTTCTCATGGGGTCAAGGAGTGGGACAGATCACATGCACGCGCATGTGATACAAGTCCCCCTGATGTTTTACCATTACTTATCACCTCACACCTTTCCTTCCTCTTACACCCTAGCCCCCCACACGCACCTTCCCTCCCACGCCCCACGCCCCCACCCTCTCCTCATACGGGCAAGGATACGTGGGAATGAGCACGCGCATGCGCATGTGATGGAAGTCCTTCAGCATCGGCTGTAGATGCCCCCCTAGTGACGCTTTTCTGTTGGCCATGTTGGCCTGAAGTGAGAGGGAGAGAGGGCGGGGTAGAGCGGGGAGATGAGGAAAGAGGCAAGGCAGCACACCCCGTTTACTGACTGTGCATGGCACAAGACAGCATCCAGTCCATCCCGCCCTGCCTTGGTGTTCCATTCCCCTCGCGTATTCCCATCCGAGGTGAATTTTGAGTCAACTAAAGAATCATCCCATTGGCTCACCCGGTATACCGCCTCTGCATGGCATAAGACGGCATCCAGTCCATCCCGTCCTGCCTTGGTGTTCCATTCCCCTCGCAAATCTCCATCCGCACCCACATTTTCTTCCGAAAGATATACACTCGCTCCTGATATGCTAGAGACTAGCCATAACGGCGTGATAATAACGAGGATGATCAGGAGGGCGGCGAGATACGGCTTCGCTCCGGGAAACCAGCCGTCGCTAGTAGCGAATGCAGATGCGATGAACTCGCGAGGATTGTTGCGCAAATGACGAGAAACGGACTCCCACCAACGCCGGTCTAGTAGCTGGCGAAAAAAAACAGCCCATTCTCGCCGTCGGGGTGAAGGGATTGCGAATGGGGCGGAGAACGAGGAGAATGGGAGAGAGAAGAACGAGTCTCGAGAACCCGGTGAGGAAGATCGGTGGACAGGTGGAGCGTGAAGAGGTGGATGAGATGAGGCTGCTCGCGAGTGGATGTTCATTAACGGAGAGCTCTCTTCTGCGCTTGACTCGTCTGGTCTAGCCATGGAAAATTAAAGCGCGGAACTTCCGTCGCAGGGTCGGACTCGCGCCCCGACCCCGTAGAATGTAGTCGACACGTGGCACAACTGTCCCTAAGCTGCGTCAGGAAGAAAGCCTAACAACGAATGTTGGAAGGCGAGGAATCAGCTGGTCAACAACGATCTGCTGTGGATATTGACAAATTTGTTACGGTGTTAGTTCTAAATAGATGATTGGAAACTTGTTAGCGGTATTTTTCTTTCCTGTGGATGACCAAATGTGTCCCTTCAACAGATAATTGTTATTGGTTTCATCCAGCATAAAATTCGTACAGAACATTCCATTAATCGTTACCTACAGCCAACGCCTACAGAGATATCGCTGAGATACATCCGACATAACAAAGAGAATGCAGTAATACCCTAACTAGAGTCATGGTCAACGCTAGAACTAGAGCTGAATTAAATCATGACATGGAGCTGGTGGCATGTCTGGTTTTAGTGTATCCTCAGGTTCAGGTCGCTGCAGTTGTCTGTGCCATCGATCGCCGAATAGCCTCGGCGTACGTGCTGTACTGATATGTCAAGGTCACATCCAACAACTCTTCCAAGGAAGTCTCTGGCTCCCAACCTGCAAAGTACAATTCCAGCCTGTTAAGATCTCACACAACAACAATAATTACCATGACACACAAAATGTGCGAAGACTCACCCAGCTGCTGCTGAATAAGCGTCATGTCTGGAATTCGGCGGTCACTATCGTCATAACCCTTTCCATAGAAGTCACTTGATGTAACATCGACTGTGGGTGTTGCAGGCTCTGCTTGCTTGCTCACTTTGCAATAGATCTGCACGGCATGAGATGAGTAACGATTAGAGGCGAAAGACCCACTTACTTCATAGACTACTTAGAGCCATCTGACATACCCGTGTCATAATCGTGGCCAGTTCACGAACATTAGCCTCGTTCTTGGGGTTACCGACATTAAATATGTGCCCGTTTGCTCGCTCTGGGTTCTCCTGCAATGCATGAACTTCGTCAGACTACTGAGCAATTAAGCATACATACGTGCAGCATAACCATCAAATGGACTTACAATCATAAGCATCACGGCGCGGATTGCATCCTTGATGTACACAAAGGTCCGTTGTGACTTGCCACCGTCAACCAACTTCAATGGTTCTCCGCGCAGAAGTTGCTGCAGGGACAACTCGAGCAAGCTCAGATATGACAAAGTGGAACACTTCAAGTGGAGCACCGTATACTAAACCTCCAACACCTACATTGCTGAAGCAAGCAAGAACGCGAGGCACGCCATCCTTGGGGCCATCAATTCCAGGGATAAAATCCATACGCGGACCAATCCAGTTGAACGGGCGGACGATGGTGAATTTGAGATCATTTTCAGCCCCCTCAGCTGTGACACAGCACAAAAGATGTTCCATTTAGTCCCAGCGAGCCAACGAAATAAACCAACAGAAGTGGTGTGCACAGCTCACCATAGATGACCCTTTCAATGAGCTGCTTTGCACAAGCGTATGACCACCGTTGCTTTTGCACAGGCCCGAAAATGCAAGGCGTTTCGTCTTCTTTCAGCACATAATACTGGGGATCCTGTTACGTTTAGAGCAAGACAGAAATCGTCAGACACTCGTTAGTGCTTAATCACAATGGACTTGACAATACAGACGTCGAAAGGGGGGCTCTTACGTTGCGCATATTGCTATCAGGAGGCAAAAAGGCTCCAACGGTCTTGCCATAGACCTCACAGGTGGAGAAATGAATCAGTCTTCTTTTGAAATCTGAGCAGAACTTGGCCTGAAAAGGACAATCCGTTATGTTACATCCCCCTAGAGAAATCAAATTTTATGTACATTGTGATTGGAAGGCGAACTAACCACGGGGAGAGCATCGACGAAGTTGCTGTAGATAGTATCCAGCGGCCTTGTGTTGTAATCCGCTGGAGTACAGATGGCAGCCAAATTAACCGTCTGCACGAAGAATTCTCGTCGTTAGTGCTCAAGTTTCTCAAGGAGGCGTTTCGGGTGGGTAACATCGAGCATTTGTTGCATGTAGAGTAGCAAGACCCACCAAGTCACATGACTTGATAATGCCTTCAAGACGTGGATCATTGCTGATGTTAAACTGGTGAAACTCCATACGGCCGCTCCATGGATGAGAATCACCCAGCAGGTGCTCGATCTTGTCATTGTACATATCGACTGCCACCACTATATGATTGGTCTCCCACATCAAAGCCTCGCATAGGTGCGATCCGATGAAACCAGCTGCTCCAATGATACACATTCTAATGGGTGCGATCTCCTTGCCATCTAGGTCAAACCTTTTGGCCATGACTACGGTACGTCAGAAATCCAGATTCGGCTTGCTAACTCAAGTGAAAAGCTCAGAGAGAGCGAAAGAAACTTGAACGATGTGATACAGAGAGATAAGAACTATTCCGTTTCAGGACTACTGACCAGCAGCCGGCAATAGGTATGTTCTAGGATGTTGAGCTGACGGAACCGAGCTAACGGACCCGTGGAGAATCCCACTGACAGGCGAATTCAGGGAGAAGAGCATGGATCAGATTGGTAGACTGGAAACAAAGAAACGAGGGGGAAGGGGGCACCAGAAGCGGGAAAGACGTTTGCCTGCTCACGACATCTTTCACTGTCGCGAATAGAAACGCCAATAGCGTCGCCTCGCCAAAGCGAGCTGCTGCGAGTGTCGTTCTTCATGCCCGCGGTCTGCGGTTGTCTGACAACACCCTCCTCGCGAGCCAAACCGCTCGTTTCCTTTGTGGACAATCCGTTAAAGAGCGCCCACAAGCTTCTCCGCTACCGACAGTTTCTTCTGAGACTAATAATCCCATAGACACTCAAGCGCTTTCATGTCGATTGCAATATACTTGTGTTCCAATATTGGTATAAGGTGGTCCGATACCGTCCCCCAAAAATCTCAACACCCACACTTACTAGAAGGTATTTATTTAGGATACACAAAATTAGAGGTTCAAACGACGAAGCCATGAGGCTTGTGGCGGCCTTATATATATTATTTTTATCGGTTAGTTGATTATACAAAACCGAATACAGCTCTGTATAAGAATTCAGTATTGTTACGAGTGCAATTGAGTGAGCGAGCGAGTATTGCACTATCGAAGCAAAAGTACAATGAGCGAAGGCATGAGCGAATAATATATAGCGAAACTACAGTGGTAACGGTAATGTGTGGAAAATGGGGTGCGCGACGTAGCGCCGAGGTTGGGAGATGTCGAGGCGGAGGTCCGGAGCGCGGGTTACCAACCGAACCGTCAGGTTGGGTCGCGTCGTGAACAGTGGCGGGAATGGTGTCGAAGCGAGTGTCGCGAATGGTAACGGATTACTGTTGGGTGCTGTTGGCGGGAACAGTGGTGTACGCGCTGAGCAGGGACGCGAAGTAAGGAAAAGGGATTTTCCTTACACTACCCCCCCCCCCCCCCCCCCAAGGAGGCCCCTCTTACGAGAGCGCGTGTACATCTCGGAAGTTGCGGCTGCGCAGATACTCTGTGAGGACAGGGTGATTCTCAATTCTATCTAAGGGGACCCAGTTGTCCTCGGTGGGCGTGCGGTCTTTCTAGCGGATCAGAAATTCGATTCTGCGGGCTCCCCGTGGGTCACGTACTCGGTGGCTCAGTATTTTCTCAGGCGTGATGATTGGCTCTGTCGGCGGTCGTGTCATGCTGGCGGGGCGGTTGCGAGGCAGTTGGCTGGTGGATGGCACGTATGGACGAAGCAGGCTGACGTGGAATGACGGGCTGACGTACCAGTCAGCAGGGAGGAGGAGATGGGCGGTGACGGGTGTGATCATGTGGCTGATGCGAAATGGCCCGCAATATCGGGGGCGGAGTTTTGGGGTGATGGGCAGGCGGAGGTTTTGAGTGTCGAGTAAAACTAGGTCGTCTGGCTGGTAAGTGACAGGTCGTCGGTGGCGGTCAGCGTTGCGTTTAGCGATGATGTTTGATTTTTTTATTGCTTCTGCTGCTCGGGTCCGTGCTGCTTGCAGTATTTCCGCGAACTGTTGCGCACGTAGGACTGGGTTGTCGGGATTCGGGGTCATGGGTACTGTGGGGTCTTGTTCGTAGTTTAGGTAAAATGGTGACTGTTGGGTCGTGGCGGATGGCGAGTTGTTGTACGCGAATTCGATGAGTAGCAGTTGCTGTTCCCACGTGGTCGGGTCGTCGCACGTGGCCCGGATGAGCTGTTCCATGGTCTGATTTGTCCGTTCCGTCTGTCCGTCGGTTTCGGGGTGGTATGATGAACTGAACTGCAGTCGCGTGCCGAACTGCTGCCACAGGTTCCGCCAGAAGTTGCTGGTGAATTTCGTGTCGCGGTCGCTGATGATCGCTGCTGGTATCCCGTGTAATCGAACGATGGCGGCGATGAAGAGGCGAGCTGTTTCTTCGGCTGTGATTGATTTCTTGCATGCTGCGAAGTGTGCCATTTTCGTAAGCCGGTCGACGACGACCAGGATCGCGTCGTTCCCGCTTGCTCCAGCCGGTAACCCCGTGACGAAGTCCATCGTCACCTGCTGCCAAGCACGCTCTGGGGGTGGTATCGGCTGCAACTATCCTGCCGGTCGTTGTCGTGACGACTTCATGAGCTGGCAGGTGGGACACGATGCCACGTGTCGCTGCACGTCGGTCAGCATCTCGGGCCAATAGTAATACCGCTGCAGCTGCTGCCGTGTTTTCTCTACCCCGAAATGTCCCGAGGTAACTCCGTCGTGTGCCACCTGTAACAGTAATTCCCGTAGTAGTGTGTACCCTGGTACCCAGATGCGGTCAGTCCCGGCTTTTACGTAATGGACTCCCTTGGCTGCTGCGAACTGCTGCGAATTTCCTCCTGTGAAGAATGGGTCCGTTTGGTACCCGTGGGTAAATAGTCCTGTCAGTAGCGGGCTGGTCTGGGCGAGTAGTATCGCGTGGATTTGGGCAGTGGGGCGGGTCAGTGCGTCAGCGATGTTGGATGCTCCTTTTTTTAGGTGACCGTGTAGTGGAAGTTTGACTCGAGGAAATCGAGCCAGCGGATCTGTCGTGGGTTGAGGTGGGGCTGTGCGCGGAGATACTGTAATGATTTATGATACTGTACTGTCACGTCTGCGCCGGTCAAGTAACAGCGCCAAACCTTGAATGCATGCACGATCGCGAGCATTTCGCGGTCGTGTATCGGGTAATTCTTCTCGGGCGGATGCAGTTTTCGATGGGCTGTAAACCGTTGCCGAAATCCTGTAGCAGTACGACTCCAATGGCGATGTCGCTTGCGTCTGTAACTACTTCGAATGGGCGGTGTGGGTCAGCGATGCGCAGTACGGGTGGTGAGCAGAGAACGTGTTTCAGGGCAGAGAAGGCAGCATGCTCTTTCTCCCCCCACGTAAAAGTGACCCCCTTCCGCAGTAAATCCGTCAGTGGGGCAGTTAACCGTGCCATATCGGGGACGAACCAATGCACATAATTAACGAACCCTAAAAAGCTCTGTAGCTCCGTGATGTTCGTCGGGGGGTGCCATGCTTTTACCGTGTCCAGCTTCTTTGGGTCGATTTCAACTCCAGCCTCCGAAATGACTGAGAAGAAACGAGGAATGGGAATGACTAAGGGAAAGTTGGGTACAAATGCAAACCCTAGAAAACTGTACCCCATATGTGCTACCCCACTATAGCCTACAGTAGCTCTGTCATATAAATCTGACACACCCCCATAGGCAAAGTGGGGGAGAACAAGGGGTCACAAGACCAGTCAAGCAAAGCAAAGCAAGCTCAGGGTGGATCACAAAGTCACCACACATTCCGAGCACAAGTTCAAGGCCACAAGGCCAGTTCATATGCAGGATTACATACACATATAAGGCTAGACAAGCAAGAGCAGGTGTATATATATATGCAACAGTACAAACAAGGTCAAGGGGTGAGCAAGTGAGGCAAGGTAGGCACAAGGCCCAGCTGAGTACAGAAACGCTGATGATCACAAGGCGCAAGTGCCTTGGTGAAGATATCAGCAGTGTTGGCCTGAGAGGCCACGTACGCAAGCCGCAGCTGACCACGCTGCTGTAGCTCACGAGCAAGGAAGTAGCGGAGAGCAATGTGCTTCGTTCTGTGCTCCAGTCTCTGCTCTCGACACAAGGCCAGCATGGCCTTGTTGTCTACGTACAGCACTGGAGGAGAACGAGGCGGCTCTCTGAGGTCAGTCAGCAGGTAGGTGAGCCAGCGAAGCTCCTGTGCAGCCATGGCCCCGGCGTAGATCTCAGCCTCACAACTGGAGCCGAGAACAGAAGACGAGCGGGTAGCCCGCCACGAAACAGAGCCGGAACCAAGGCTGAAGGTGTAACCCTGTGACGACCGCTGCGTAGCATGGTCGTCAGCCCAAGAAGCGTCTGCGTGCCCAGTGAGGACCACTGGACTCTGCCCTCCAAGCACAAGCCCCATGCCCGACGTACTGCACAAGTAGCGCAACACCCTCTTTGCTGCAGCCATGTGCTCCGGTCTGTGTCTCCCAGGAGCAACATAGCGTGCGAGAATGCTAAGAGGGTATGCAAGGTCAGGTCGTGTGCAGGTCATCAGGTACATGAGGCAGCCAACAAGCTCTGGGTACGGGCCACTCGACTCTACGGACTCATCCGAAGGAAGAGCTGAGAGCGAGTGGCGAGTAGGCAGAGGAGTGGCCTGAGGCGAGGAGTACGTGAAGCCGAAGCGCTGAAGGACCTGCTGCACCATGTGTGACTGAGTCAGGGTAATGGTGCGGCGTGCTCTGTCCCGGGTGATCTGCAAGCCAAGGTAGCTGCGCAGTTCACCCAGGTCTGTGCACGTGTGTCTCTTCTGCAGCTCGGACTTCACGTGGGCGAGTCCAGCAGTGTCAGCTGTGGCAAAGACCAAGTCGTCGACGTACACGAGGATGTAGAACGGCGGCAAAGAAGTGTCGGTGCGCAGAAACAGCGACGGGTCGGCAGTAGAGGGAGCAAACCCAAGAGCCGCAAGTGTAGTCCTCAGTGTGTCGTGCCACTCACGCGGTGCCTGGCGGAGACCGTAGACTGGCCGCCGGAGGCTCCACTGGGTGCCAGGAGGAAAAGACCCAGTGAAGCCAGGTGGGCGACGCAGCCAGATCTCCTCGTGCAGGCTGCCCTGCAAGAAAGCAGTGCTGAAGTCAAGAGAGTGCAGCTCGTAGTCGCGGTGAGCAGCTATGTGCAGCAGTACCCGAAGAGTGGTCATCTTCGGGGTGGGAGAGAAGGTCTGAAAGTAGTCAACTCCCTGCCGCTGACTGAAGCCACGAGCCACGTAACGCGCCTTGAAGACAGGCGGAGAACCCGGCGGCCGCTTCACCC